ATTTTGGAAGAAATAAAATTACCCAGTTAGTTTAAGGTTATCTAGTTTCTATTACAGAAGTAAAACTTCTTTATTAATAAAGGTAATGGTGTTATTTATGGAAATATATCCAATGTCATAAGACAAATAAAATTATGTTCATGTTCCAACATCAAAATTACCTTTGGAATATACTTTCCAATTATAATCATTCCCAATTCATTGGACATAAAATACAATTTTTTTATCATGTTGGTTTAGCGTAGTACCAAATGAATTGCTGGCTAACGAGTATTAGCAAAAGGCCTCTTAATTAAAACTAGATTTTACTTCTTTTTGATTGCATTTGTCAATAAAATCTTATACGAATTCCGATTCCTCGTCTCCTGTAACATACATATTATGATATTTCATAAATTAAATAGGCCAGTTTCGGGGCAAGGTAACAGTACCTAAATGAGTCATAAGAGAAAATTCAAGGTTGCCAATGTTTTTCCCCGTTAACTCAAAAACCCATCATGGGATGTTTTTGAATGTTTAGGATGTAAATAAGCCTCACGTTATCCACAAATTCCCAATGTTTCAGTTATATTTAAACCCTAATTTTACAACATAAACATTTGTTTTCCTCTGGAAGGTAAGATGAGTGAGATATATCACTAAATGATCATTAAACATTAATTTCCCCCATAAAGTCCATATGTGTCAAATGTCACAAGAGGTTCACTAAATATTTTGATCCCAAGCAAGGTTAGGTTAATATGATTCGTCAACACTGATATATATTTTTAGAAATGTTGCTGTGTCAAGTCGCTTCTTAAATGTTTGTTTAAAACCATTATTTAAAAAAAAACTGAAATTTATATATTTAACGTAGCTTAGATTGACTTTAAATAGATAGAGAGGCTATGTTTATTGTTTTAAATTGCACGCTTTTAATTTTAACAAAGAATTACGATCAATACATTTTCCAATTTCGTGACAAAAGTTAATAAAATAGGATATAGTTTAACAAACTTTTAATTGTTATAACCTAACAAAATCAACGATGGTGATTTCATTCCTGGAAATAAATGAATATAACCAACACCGTAAATTTCAATATATGCTGATGACGCCCCGGTTATAGATACCATAATGTTTTCAACTCCCCTAATTTAACCTCTTCGTAACTCCACTTAACCTCTTCATAACTCCACTTACTTAACCTTTTCATAACTCCCACTCACTTCCAGACACATACTCTACACACACACCCACATACATCCCTCATCCCCTGACATCTATACATATATATATATATATATATATATATATATATATATATATATATATATATATATATATATATATATATATATATATATATATATATATATATATATATATGCGAACAAGCCTGAATGGTCCCCAGGACAATATGCAACTGAAAACTCACACCCCAGAAGTGACTCGAACCCATACTCCCAGAAGCAACGCAACTGGTATGTACAAGACGCCTTAATCCACTTGACCATCACGACCGGACATAATGAGGTGATAGCCGAGGCTATTTGAACCACCCCACCGCCGGCACTCGGATAGTAATCTTGGGCATAGCATTTTACCAAATCACCTCATTCTTTGGGGCACACGTGAGGAACACAAATGCGAACAAGCCTGAATGATCCCCAGGACAATATGCAACTGAAAACTCACACCCCAGAAGTGACTCGAACCCATACTCCCAGAAGCAACGCAACTGGTATGTACAAGACGCCTTAATCCACTTGACCATCACGACCGGACATAATGAGGTGATAGCCGAGGCTATTTGAACCACCCCACCGCCGGCACTCGGATAGTAATCTTGGGCATAGCATTTTACCAAATCACCTCATTCTTTGGGGCACACGTGAGGAACACAAATGCGAACAAGCCTGAATGGTCCCCAGGACAATATGCAACTGAAAACTCACACCCCAGAAGTGACTCGAACCCATACTCCCAGAAGCAACGCAACTGGTATGTACAAGACGCCTTAATCCACTTGACCATCACGACCGGACATAATGAGGTGATAGCCGAGGCTATTTGAACCACCCCACCGCCGGCACTCGGATAGTAATCTTGGGCATAGCATTTTACCAAATCACCTCATTCTTTGGGGCACACGTGAGGAACACAAATGCGAACAAGCCTGAATGGTCCCCAGGACAATATGCAACTGAAAACTCACACCCCAGAAGTGACTCGAACCCATACTCCCAGAAGCAACGCAACTGGTATGTACAAGACGCCTTAATCCACTTGACCATCACGACCGGACATAATGAGGTGATAGCCGAGGCTATTTGAACCACCCCACCGCCGGCACTCGGATAGTAATCTTGGGCATAGCATTTTACCAAATCACCTCATTCTTTGGGGCACACGTGAGGAACACAAATGCGAACAAGCCTGAATGGTCCCCAGGACAATATGCAACTGAAAACTCACACCCCAGAAGTGACTCGAACCCATACTCCCAGAAGCAACGCAACTGGTATGTACAAGACGCCTTAATCCACTTGACCATCACGACCGGACATAATGAGGTGATAGCCGAGGCAAAGAATGAGGTGATTTGGTAAAATGCTATGCCCAAGATTACTATCCGAGTGCCGGCGGTGGGGTGGTTCAAATAGCCTCGGCTATCACCTCATTATGTCCGGTCGTGATGGTCAAGTGGATTAAGGCGTCTTGTACATACCAGTTGCGTTGCTTCTGGGAGTATGGGTTCGAGTCACTTCTGGGGTGTGAGTTTTCAGTTGCATATTGTCCTGGGGACCATTCAGGCTTGTTCGCATTTGTGTTCCTCACGTGTGCCCCAAAGAATGAGGTGATTTGGTAAAATGCTATGCCCAAGATTACTATCCGAGTGCCGGCGGTGGGGTGGTTCAAATAGCCTCGGCTATCACCTCATTATGTCCGGTCGTGATGGTCAAGTGGATTAAGGCGTCTTGTACATACCAGTTGCGTTGCTTCTGGGAGTATGGGTTCGAGTCACTTCTGGGGTGTGAGTTTTCAGTTGCATATTGTCCTGGGGACCATTCAGGCTTGTTCGCATTTGTGTTCCTCACGTGTGCCCCAAAGAATGAGGTGATTTGGTAAAATGCTATGCCCAAGATTACTATCCGAGTGCCGGCGGTGGGGTGGTTCAAATAGCCTCGGCTATCACCTCATTATGTCCGGTCGTGATGGTCAAGTGGATTAAGGCGTCTTGTACATACCAGTTGCGTTGCTTCTGGGAGTATGGGTTCGAGTCACTTCTGGGGTGTGAGTTTTCAGTTGCATATTGTCCTGGGGACCATTCAGGCTTGTTCGCATTTGTGTTCCTCACGTGTGCCCCAAAGAATGAGGTGATTTGGTAAAATGCTATGCCCAAGATTACTATCCGAGTGCCGGCGGTGGGGTGGTTCAAATAGCCTCGGCTATCACCTCATTATGTCCGGTCGTGATGGTCAAGTGGATTAAGGCGTCTTGTACATACCAGTTGCGTTGCTTCTGGGAGTATGGGTTCGAGTCACTTCTGGGGTGTGAGTTTTCAGTTTATATATATATATATATATATATATATATATATATATATATATATATATATATATATATATATATATATATATATATATATATATATATATATATATATATATATATATATATATATATATATATATATATATATATATATATATATATATATATATATATATATATATATATATATATATATATATATATATATATATTTTGGTAGCAGTCTTTCCTGTAGACATATATTATTAAATATGACCGAAAAAGTAAGATTAATAATTCTAACATGAATTTTCTCAATCTTTCGTACATTTCTTTTCACTGTTGGAGGTAATTCAAAAATCAATTCTCCAAAATTCATTTTTATTTCTAGTCTGACGCGACACTTGAGCGCGTTTCGTAAAACTTATTAGACTTTAGTTAACACATACACAACTGAATAGAACTTACACATCTCCGATTTTGTTTATATCTACATTTGAGTGACGTGGATGGGGTGAGGTGGTATTTAATAAGGTATTAATTTCATCAACACAAGCCAGAACATGAAACAGTGGGTATTGAATAGAAGTGATTGCAGAAAGCCTATTGGTCCATATTTCTTGATGCTTCTATATTGGAGCGGAGTCTTGAGGTGGGTAGAATATAGTTGTGCATTAATTAGCTGTTGATTGCTGGCGTTGACTTCTTGATGTGTAAATGCCTCGCAAATAGCAGGCGGCTTGACGTTTGCGAGGCATTACACATCAAGAAGTCAACACCAGCAATCAACAGCCAATTAATGCACAACTATATTCAACTATATTGAGTGTTGTTTTGAGTGTTAGACACACTCAAAACTCCTCTAATATTCCTGAGTGTATCAAGTAGTAACAGAACTCCAAGTATCTCATACCATTTGTTCTGAAATCATTTATTACAGAGCAATCACAGATATAGTGATGGAGAAAGTGTTCTAATTTCCATTCACCTGTACAGTTTGGGTTTCGAACCGGGGACCCCCCAGTGTGTGAGGCCGAAGCTCTCTCGACTGGGCTATGAGTGGTCTCAATAGGGAAAGTCCACGGATCGACACTCACACAGTCCAGATGAATGGAATGTTTATTTCCACGAAAGGGTGGATGATAATTCATTGTTCTAATTTGTTTATATCATAACTCGTTATCTCGTGCTATCTTCCGCTTGAGTGTCAGTGATTGCTCTTCTGCCATACCTAGGGGAAGGGGAAGGAAAGTATTAGGGGGGTGGAGGGGTGGGAAGTGCCAAGCCTTTACGACCATATAGCACTTGGAAGGGGTCAGGATAAAGATTTGGGATGGGACGGAGGGAAGGAATGATGCCCAACCATTTTGTCTTCCATATCTAACTTCCAGAAAACGTGTGTGATTTACGATAAAAGACTGGATTATCTCGGCCAAAACTGTGCAGAACATACATACATATAATAAAACTGTCCTGACTTGATGGCCGCAAAATTTAAAAAAGAAAACGGCATACCAGTAACATTAGAAAAAAACAAACTTATCGTTTATATGTTAAAAGTTTTCAACTATCAAAAATTGCACCTCGGATATACCTCATTGGTTTCAGTACTTTCACTGTGCAAAGTTATTCATCGTTTCGGGAGATTATTTGGAAAGGGAAATGTAAGGGGAGGGGGGTAACTAGTGTATTAATACACACAGAAATCGCAGTGACGTGATATATCAAATGAACAAATTGAATTTGTTCATTAGTGTATTAATATTAAATCGGTGCAGTCCCTTCATGTACTATTTATATTTAGTAGTATAACCAACTGGCTATATGGAGGACGGGTTGAATTATTTTTTTTTTACACATATTCACTCAACTTCCACATAAACTCTTCACTTGGACAAAATTAGTCTCACTCTTCCCACATTAACCACTAGGTCACTTAGGCCTCTTTTTTATCGTCTCACTTTCTAAGCTTCACGTTTACATTTGTTATTAACACCTTTCTCCTATACTCCCTTCTTTGTAACCTTCGTTCCTCTACTCACTGATTTGAATAATACTTTAAATTCATTAATAACAATCACCTATCTCTCTCTCTCAGCCCACATTCATATTCTTAGTTAAAACACACCCCCTCACACTCATATTCTTAGCTCATTCACACCCTCATACTCATTACTCGAACCCTCAACATACACGAAGCAATCCCTCCAATTGTCACGCTGCTACCTCATACTTTTGTTTTCTTCAATATCTCAAAATCCTCAAACTACTGGCCCGGTTATTGTTATTTTTCTGACTGTTCATTCACCAATAGGTCTCATTCATATTACTCATCACGAGTCCCTGTTCAAACCTCCCTCACTCAACTTTATCACTAATTTGTACCCAGGAAACATTCCCTTCTCGTTAACCACCCATCCTTCCATTGTTCGGTGTAAAGGGAATTCATTAGTAAAGTGATTAAACTTAAGTTTAATATTTTTGAATTGCTAGAAATATATGAATTGTATTTAAGTTTTAGGTATATACAACCTGCCGGTATTATTCCTGTTTAGGGAGTATATTTTCCTAAAGAGCATTATCGAGCAGTCACTTTGTGTACAGTATCTACCATGCTGATGGTCCTATTAATCCGTTTGTGTCATAAGATGTTCATGGTAATGACAATTATTGTCAGTGTTTATGAAAAACTAGTTAGGAGCATAACCATGATTGTAAAAGAGCGAGAGTAAAACTTTATTAAATATATTCAGTGTGTTTGCCTATGTTATGAGAAGATATTTTATTTATATTATCCATGAAAACGATATGTTTAAAAAATTACTTATTTATGTTTATCTTCTCGGCTCATATATTAATTGTTTATTAAATTATAACTAATCAAAAATGAATTTTATAGTTGATCAATTCAGTAGCTGTTGGTTCATTATATTGTTTTAGCTGCTTGTTATATAGCTGGATAATACTGCAAAATAATGATCAGGATAATATTGCTAATAATGATCAAGATAATATTCCTAATAATCCCCGAGCGGAAAATCACTAGAAGGGAATGCTAATTGGAGAAGATTTTTATTCCATGCATACCGAATATTGTATCGAAAAATGTATATAGTTTTGATTCGTGAATGTTGAATAAATCAGTGAGGATGATCATGTGGCATATCCAATTATTCGTCAGATTATCGAATGTCTTTGAGTAGAGATGGAGAAGAGCAGATATGGCAGTGGCAACATAATATGTATTATTGAAACATCGCATCTCAATCGATGATAGTGGATAATATAGAGATACGACAAATCTACCTTGCAGAAGACACCCAGAGATATCTTTCTCTGGCGTCCCTAAATCGCAGCTTCACTCATACACATCACTCGCTCCCGAGCCATTACTCACACCCATCAAACATATATACTCATCACTCATTGCCACTTCTTACTTGTGCCATTCATTCTCACCACATCTCTCTCATCCCTCACTCGCAACTCTCACTCCCACACTTCACTTCCTCTCATTAAACAAACCATCAATAGTTTTCCACAGTCACTCCACTCATATTCCCTAACATCAATGAGAATTAAGAGTTTAATTCTCATAAATGAGAATATGAGAATTTAAATTCAAATGCTGCAAAATTCAAATAGAGCATACCATAAGAGACATAAATAATAATAAAAAATGTAACTAATTTAAATAATAATAAAAATAATATTAGGCAGGGATGCAATTAATAAAGAAGTGTGTATGGAGGTAAATATAATAGTTAATCGAGATTTAATGAACAGAGAATCAATATTTATCAAAAATAAAATAAATCGAGGGGGAATGAGAGAGCTTCATTGTAGGGACACATGGCAGAGAGAGAGAGAGAGAGAGAGAGAGAGAGAGAGAGAAAGCGAAAGACAGGCAAGCATATAGTCAGGCAGATAGACAGACAGGTAGGCAGATAGACAGACACCTTGGAAGATAGTCAGGCAGATAGACAGACAGCCAGGCAGGAAGATAGGCAGATAGACAGACAGGCAGTAGAAAGAATAAAAAATGTATATGAAAAAACTTGAGTAAGAAAGGAAGTTAAAAACTGAGATGAGTACTACAGAGCATTAACAGTAATGGATGAACCCTGTGCGAATGGTAAAAGGGGGGAGACAGTGAGAGAATGGGGAGAGGAGTTTAATGGACTAGAAAAGGCAAATAGTTAAAAAGATTGGATTTAGTGTGTAATTGAGAAGAGGCACTTGCGGAGAGCGAAAGGAAAGAGGGTTTAATACTGCGAAGAACAGGGGGGAGTAAAGAAGGAGTAGATATGAAAAATGATGGAAAGAGGGAAGAGCGCTAGAATATTGTAAGAATGTCAAAGATACAGTAAGAGAATGAGAGAGGGGACAGAAAGTCATTAATATTATATATATATATATATATATATATATATATATATATATATATATATATATATATATATATATATATATATATATATAATATATAATATATATATATTTTTATTATATATATATATTTATATATTTATTATAAATATATATATAGAGAGTGAAATAATTTCGAACGCTATAAATTATAAATGGACGTAATAACTGAAGAGGAAGATAAACTCGTTCATGGCAATTAACCAAATTAAAAGTGAAATTAAGACGTAGTGGGCAAGCAAATAATGATGTGGATAATATAATCGTAATGGAACCAAAAAGGCTGAACGCGCAAGCCTAATGTACGAGATCACAAGCATACGAGAATATAGACAACAGCAGAAGGCCTGTAGGCCTATGGAATTTAAATCCTATTTATTCTCATTCATATATCTGACCTACACATGTGTTGGTCAGATATATGAATGAGAATATATTAGAAAATAGAATAATGAGAAAACACAAAACAAAGTAAATAAAACTGCTTCTGGCCTCTATACGGCGTAAGAGCTGCGGGATAAAGTGCAAAAGAATGGAAAACTTTAAATATTTACTAAAAAAATGACTTTAACAAATATAACATATACCCTATGATACTTGTCGTCACACAAAACAAAAATGCAAGTGAAACAAACATGTGACAGTTACATTAATATCAAAGAAAAGGTGCACAATAAATATATACAATAGCTGCTAGAGACTACCTGAACCCAGGGGAGCGAGAGTAGATCTTACAGCTAGGAGCACTGAAGAGTATTCCGAGTCCAAGCTCGTGGTTAGTGTTGATGTTTAAGATTCACTATTTAGAACAAAAAGTTCCAAATAGCACGGGCTATGGTGAGCCCCAGTCCTAGCTCGTGGTTAGCTCCTTATATACACTGTCGAGTCCGTGTAGGTGGTGCTGAATATGCAGGTAATTGCCAGCCGGCAGCTTCAAACGAGCAGTAGGCTTGTTGACCAGCGAGTGGAGCTGGGCCGCCAGACAGGAGGTGAACAGGTGAGTCGGGTACTTGAGGCGGGGAGGATAGTGGTGGTGTCTGTCTAGACACGGCTTCTGATCACGTATCGCTGTTGTTCTTGATGATAATTTCTTACATTGGAGTATGCAGATATGATGTTGAATAGGCGGTAAGGGAATAGGCAGGAATCGCCTTGCTTAAGCAAGGGATTTCCATAAAACACAAAACAATGCTGTCATCTCCAGTCCTTTATTTTATCCAGTAATGGGCTCCATATATCAAAAACACTACTTCTAAAACCACAATATCAACCCAAGTCTTTCTGAATCGTATCTAATTTCCATAAATTGTCTCGATTTAATTTTTCTTTATTTTGATTTATATGCAAAACACCTTTTAATATGTTGTTGTTGTTATATGCAAAATACCTTTTAATATGTTTTAAAATGTCGTTGTTTTAGATTCAGCTTCTCGGAACAAAAAATTCCAATTAGCACGGGCTATGGTGAGCCCGTAGTGGACTTACCTGGCACAGGAGATGTACCTGAAAGCGAGATTGGTAACGATTAAACCACCCACAAAGAATGGGAATGTAAAAATAACCATAGAAAGAAAAAGAAAGAGAAAAAGGAAAAAGTTGAAGGCTTAGGTCAGGTCACGTTTGTAATATAAGTTAGAGCATTTGAGAATGTACTGTGAAAGGGAACAGTCAAACACTAACAAAGCAACGACTTTGTTGCTATTGACTCTTCACTCTTCCCTTCCACAGTACGTAAATGCTCTAACCTTTCTAACAAACGTGACGTGACCTAAGCCTACCATCCCCCATTTTTTCTCTTTCTTTTTCTTTCCTATTATTCTTACGCCCATTCCATCCGTACGTTTCACCTTGCTCTTACCTTCCTTCTAAGAATTACCTCCTCTCTTGCCTTGATGACCGCGCCTCCTTTACTCTCATTATGGGATATTCATGCCACCTCTTGGGTTGCTTAATATCAATCAATCAATATCGATTGGTTGATAATCGGTCTATCACAATCGACTTGATAATGGTCCAGGATGGACCGAAACGTCTTCATCTCTTCATATTCTGGTGTTTAGTTTGGTCATCATATCTTCAGCCACGTTATTGTGACTCATCTCTTTTGTTTTGCTCTTGAATTCTTTTGTATCTCTTAATCATATATCACTCTTTACGACAAGAGAATGCAAATTATCCAATAACCTGAAAATGTATGGGT